AGTTGCATGTCCCGCACTAGGCACATAATTGCACGTCTTCTAACCTGGTCGCAATTGGGGGGCCTTTGTTTTTGTCGGAAGGGGTGGCGTTGACAGAGATGGGGCTAGTTGCATGTCCCACTACAGGCACACAACTGCATGTCTTCTAACTTGGACACAACTGGGGGACCTTTGTTTTTTGTCGGAGGGGGTGTCTTCGAGAGAAGATGGGGTCAGTTGCATGTCCCACACTAGGCACACAACTGCATGTCTCGTAACTTGGTCGCAACTGGGGACCTTTGTTTTGTCGTAGGGGGCGGCGTCGAGAGAGGGGCCCGTGTTGAGTGATGCCAACAAATGGTGCAAATGGCATATTGTAACAGTTCGTCTTGTATGTCGTGCCAAAACTCAAACAATCACCATATAACTCATACATTTTTCTCGAGTAGCCATCCGCCCAGGATAAGCACAACACCTTGTTGATGTCCTCATCAGCAACTTTGAATGCATAGTAGAAATTTGTGTATAACACAAGCTGGAAGCTGCAGAGTTTTATAGATGGCCATGGTTATAACATATCAGAATAGAAGATCCATAAGCAATCATCAAAGTTTCACCTGTTCTTGTTGTCCTGTTTTTATAACACAAGCATCAGTAAAGTTTGTGTATTCCTGAAGTAGAGTTGAGAACATTCCTGAAGTAAAGTTTGTGTTTTTGATAAAAGGAACTAAAACTGTCTGATGATTTGTGCTAGTGGCTATAATGTTTGTCCAGTTCATATCCTTAGTTTTTTCTGCCTTTTTGTTTTTTTGTTTTTTAGTCCCCTTGTTCACAACACTAATGTCACATATATATTTTGTGAATACAACAGCACACGAGCACGGACACGGATGAGAAAGGAAGCGACCCTGAAAATAAAACAGACAACCGAAATGCAGAAGGCAAAGAGGAGTGTCTTGGAGATCCAGCGTTAGAAGAGAAAGGATATCATGAAGAAATCACTGACACAGAAGCATGAGAGGGTTCGCTTTTTGAAGAAGTTGCTACAATGGTTAATAACATTTTTCTATAAATATTCATGATTTTTTTAGTTTTATTTAGTTGAAACAGTGGGTTAACTAGGTAACACAGGATGTTAACTAGCTGTGTTGCCGTGTCTCCATACTCATGCTAAAGTTTAAACTAGCTAATACATGAACTTTTGTTAACTAGCTTCTTAATGCAGGGAAGTTAACCAGCCGTGTCAACATGTCTATGTACTCTTGTTGAAACTAGGAAGAGGAGCATCTGCAAGCTGCTAGTCAACTTTAGTACTAAAAACATCTATAAGTTGCTCTGATCAATTCCATGAACAATGGACAACACGGTTCTGTTTAGCTAGCTCTAAACAGCAACTGCCCTCCTCGTATGTACATTCATAATTTTTTTGTATCGATATTGGTTGGGCCTGGCCTCCAACTTTTTTGTTCAATAACTTTTTTCGGATGTGTGTACAAACAAACAAACAAATCATTACCCAGCCCATCCCAAAGTAGCAAACAAACAAACAGAAAAACGAAAATAAGCCCAGTTTCTAGCCGGATACAACCCAGCAGTACAAGAGCTAGTAAACAGGCCTAATCTACTCGTGATGACGTCAGCCGACTGAGACTTCGCGAAGTCTCAGTCGACTGAGACCTAGACAGATCCTTAAAAAATTTGAAACGAAAACCTGGGCACACCATTCATTTCTACACAGCCATATACCAAAATAATACTCGTGCAATACACAAATTTACCCATGGGTCATTTTCAGCCAAGTGGTTTAACCTTAGAGCGAAAACGCCCCCGGAAATAGAGGCTTGGGTATTAAGAATGATTTATAGCTCCAGTGTCAGAACCAAAAACGATCCAAATAAAAAACAACATATATACTAACATGTTTGAGACGGAGCATCTAGATTAATTTACTCTTTCTGGGATCTCTTCGATCCAACAACATGGTGTGTATGGAAAAGACTCGATCTCCCGAGCTTCATTAGCAAGGCCGGAGTCAAAATATTTGTGACAACTTGGGTATATGCTTCCTAAACTTTCGACCTTGAAGCTATTCAAATGATAGGCGAACGCCATTGCTTTTAGTTTGAAGGTCTCTGACCTACTCAAAAAGAGAATCTCTTTGTATGGATGAAATCCAAGTATCTCGATTTCAAAATATGGACGGCGACGGTGCACTTCAACCATGTCTTCATTCTCAGGGAAATCATCATCGTCGGAGTTCCATTTAAATTTCTCCTGGATTACTTCTTCCTTGTTGATATTTGGAAGATGAGAACGAAAGATTCCATAGTTAATGTCTTCTAAGATCCAGGGTCCATGAACTTGGCGATCAAACATTTCCACAGGCTTAAGGTCATACTCGTGCTTTAATATCCAATCAAACTGATTACACGTTTCATTGAGGGTGCAAACCAGAATGTGATCATTCTTAAGAAATGACGCACAATACACTCCTTTTTCGGATAATCCTATATAACTGCTCCATCCAATACCCATTGGTGGCTTAATCACACTGTACTTATCTTCAGACAAAGATATTCTGCAAAAGTGAATCATTGGAAAGAAAGTTTGAACTCAGAAAAGTGCAACAGTGATTTCTGAACACTGAACCAAATTATTAATCAAACAGCGCAAGCACGTACCTCGTAATGAAATTATATTGGGAAAGCACATAAAGTGATCCTCGCCAGTAGACCGAGGAAACTCGCCCCAAATCTGCACGCGCCTCGGCAACTGTCCCTCCAGCATTCCCTTCTCGAACAAAAGACCTCTCCTCCCAATGCCGTGTCTTTGAAGAGAATACATGCAAGATATATGGAGATGGTGGCCATTCGGATGCCTCCTCTAAGGGGTCGAATTGAGCAGGCCTGAAGTAGGTAGGCAAATAGTGGATCGACACCACGTGGTAGTGAGATGAAACCATGGGATCAAAGGCGAGAAGCTCTCGGTCAAGGGCATCATAGACGATCCCTGAACCATGGTTGGGCGGGCATGGGGCCAGAGGATCCCAGCTTCGCGTGGCGGGGTTAACCACGTAGCCGTCGAGCAATAGGAGTCCATTGCAGTGATCCTGGATGTAGTAGTCGCCGTCCAAGCTCCACCCATCAGGACGAACTTTAATGGGTGTGGGTAGGAAATCGAGCTTGCCGCTGATCGCTGGCCGGCCAGGCGGCGACACGGGGCGGGAGAAGAACTCAGGCAAACAGAGCTCTCGGAAGGTGATGAAGAAGCCGCTAAACGGGAGCTCTGTGCGCAGGAGGCTCTCGCCGTCGATGATGGCTCGCCACGCCTTGCAGACGCAGCGCGACATAGCAAGCCAGCGCGGCGCCGCCACGCGACGGAGCACCTCGGCGAGCACGTCCTCCGGCAGGAGCGCCGCCAGGTCGCCGTGGTCCATCTGGTTCCGTATGATCGCTTCCTTTGGGCGGCGCACACACGTACGTGCACACCAGGTATATGTATATCTCAGCAGTCAGCATTGACCATGGAGTCCGACTCCGATCGAATAAGGAAACCTAGACGGACACGAATACAACAAGGCTATCGTAACATAACACTTTACGTGATGTCCTTGGCTGAGCTGGACTATATGTACGTCTCCTCGCCGCCGTCTCCGTCCTAAGAGCATCTCCAATAGATATGTATATTTTGGTGGTTCAAACCGATGATGTCCAAATTTGGAGCACCATAAAAGTGTTTTTTACATCTTCGAAAAAGGGTCAACTCCAACAGATGGTCCAAAACAAAGATGAGCAACTCCAACAGATGATCCAAAACGAAAATGTAAACGACCAACTACTACTTCATCTCAACATAATTCAAACATCAAATTCAACATAATTTCATATATAAATTTAACTACTACTTATTCGAACTACTAGATGAAACTACTACTCCTTGTCGTCGGAGCTGTGGAACTGCCCCTAGAACTTGTCCTAGTTCGGGTCATCGCACCCCTCGTCCTCCTTGTCGGAGTCACCCTAGTCCTCATCGACGACTCAATAGGGATCACAGTCTTCTTCTTCTTCCCTCCTTCTTCTTCCAGTAGTGCTCCAGCTCGGCCTGGACGTACAGCGGATGCTCTTGCGCAAACCGAGCCATCACCGCCTCATCGCTCTCGCCAGGAGCGATGACAACCGCCGGTCTCTTCTCGCCGGCATCTCTTCCATCCGAATGCCCTCCGGCACGAGCCACTCCGCCACCGCTTGGGTCTCGACCTCCGGGAAGTTGAGGTCCGTCTTCGTCCGTCCGGCACGCCACACCTCCACGTCATAGGCACGCGCGACCTCACTTGCAATGGGATAATTGCCGAGCCACCAACGCCATCCGGCATCGGAGAACTCCACTCCAAAATTCCCGAGGGCTTCGCCCTCACGCCAAAGAAACCGCATTTGCCCTTCGGCGTCTTCTTCGGCGCCATCGGGGAGCGGGCGGCAGCTGAGCGGTGAGCGGGGCGGCGGCGGATGGAGCGGGGCGGCGGCGTGCGGGTCGGGCGGACAATGGACCG